GCCGCTTGCCGGCGACGTCGTCGAGGTCGAGCACGTCCGGGTCGCGCTCGGTGGTCGACGGCGCCGGTGGCCGGCTCGGCTCGTACCAGACGGCGCCGGCGGGCACGTCGACGAGCTCGCGCTCGGGGTAGCGCAGCGCGGTGAGCTTCCCGCCGAACACCGCGCCGGTGTCGAGGCAGATCGTGTTGTTGACCCACTCGGCCTCCGGGGTCGGGACGTGGCCGTACACGACGGCGGCGCGCCCGCGGTAGTCCTTCGCCCACGGCAGGCGCACGGGCAGGCCGAACTCGTCGGTCTCGCCGGTGGTGTCGCCGTAGAGCGCGAAGCTGCGCACCGTCCCGGACGCGCGACGGTGGAACCGCTCGGGCAGCCCGGCGTGGGCGACGACGAGCCGCCCGCCGTCGAGGACGTAGTGGGCGACGAGGTCGTCGCAGAACGCGTGGACGCGGTCGCGGAACTCGTCGGGCTCGGCGTCGAGCTGGGCGAGCGACTCGGCGAGCCCGTGGGTGCGCGCCACCTTCCGCCCGCCCAGCGCGCGGGCCAGCTTCTGCTCGTGGTTGCCGCAGACGCACAGGGCGTCGCCGTCGGCGACCATGCCCATGACCAGGCGGAGCACGGCGGGCGTGGCCGGCCCGCGGTCGACGAGGTCGCCGACGAACACCGCGCGCCGACCCTCGGGATGGCGCGCCCCGACCGCGCGCCCGGCCTCGTCGTGCGCCACCGCGTAGCCGAGGCGGGCGAGCAGCGCGAGCAGCTCGTCGGCGCACCCGTGCACGTCGCCGACGAGGTCGAACGGCCCGGTCTCGTCGCGACGGTCGTTGCGCAGCGGCTCGACCTCGACCGTCGCCGCGTCGACCTCGTCGACCGAGCGCAGGACGTGGACGCGCCGGAACCCCTCCTTGCCCAGGTGGCGCAGCGACCGGTGCAGGTCGGCGTGCTGGCGGGCGACGACGCGCGGGGGGACGTCGCGGTCGGTGCGGACGGCGTTGCGCGCGCGGCAGACCGATTCCGGGAGGTCGAGGACGATCGCCACCGGCAGCACGTGGTGGGCGCGCGCGAGGGCCACCAGGTGCGCGCGGTCCTCACGCTTGACGTTGGTGGCGTCGATGACGGTGACCCGGCCGCCGGCGAGCCGGATG